CTAGTAGTACTAGTAGTAGTAATAGAAGTACTAGCAGTAGAAGAAGGAGGAGCAGGGCCCCGCCACTCAGGCCCACGCGGTGGACAACGACGGGTGACGCATGCGTTTTCCGGACCCGAATAAATGCATCTGTGCGTTTTGGCTGAAACCGAACCGATTCGATTCGATACCGATAGCGATTCGAAACCGGTCGCGAAAGGGGGCCGGCCATCCATGTTGAGTGAGTTGCCGTCGTACTCCTCCGTGTTTGCATCGCCCTCCTCGTTGGCCTGCTTGGGGGGCATCTAATGGGAGGGGCTGATGGAGCCGGCTGGGGATGGCGCGAAGATGTCCTCAATCTGTGAGTCCGTAGGTACTGCAGGCTTGGGCGTGTCGTCCTTGGACTTGACCTTGCCCTTGCTGCTGCTGCCACCTCGACTGTTGGTCTTGTGAGTGGGGGGCTGCTGCTTGACCTTTCCGGACTTGCTGACCTTGCCAGGGGACCATCACGAGCTGGACTCTCACTGGAGCGTAATGTCGCCGGCCGAGGGGTTGCTGTAGGGGGAGAGGATGCTGCTGTCATGTTGGCTTGGAGTAGGGTGAGGATGCCCTCGTTGAGCTGATGGACGAGACCCTGCATGCGTAGAAGAAGCGCCAGGTCCATGACGGGCGTGCGTTTCAGTGAGAGCTGCAAAGTGCGCTGCTGCTTGATCCACGGTGCGTGCAAGTCGGGCGCCACAACCGCACCGGAGGCATGGTTGTAGAGCAGTGACTACTTACTGAATCGCCGCTTAGGTGACTCTGTAATTAGGGAGTTGGTGGGAGGGGGCCCAAGCACCGAAAAAGGAAAAAGGGAAAAAGGGAAGACCGAAAAAAAGGGCACAGGAAAGGGTTCCGCACCAGACGCCCCCCAGCAAAAGGGCTTCAAGACCGGGAAAAACAGGCCCTGCAGAAGCCAAAGCACACAAAGGCAAAAGTCGGTGATTTTCCGCGTCGCGTCACCTCACTCTGGCGCCTGGGAAGCTCTTGCTCGCCATTTGCGAATGACCCTGTCGAGGACATCTGCTAGGAATTCTGTTCGGAGGTAGAGGTCTCGAAGTCCCTGAATGGCTGGTGTACTCACGATGAGGCTGAGGCGGGACTGAAAGCCGGAGGGCCGACAGCGTGCCTGCAGTGCGGTGCTGGTTGACGAGCCACTGCTGGTAGGTTTTTTGCCAGAGATGCCAGAGCACTTCCTGGTAGGCAACGCACACATGGCTGAGGACAGGCGACAGCTGGGAGTCGAAGGAGCCTTGCGCTATGTCGATGATGTCCTCGAGATGGGAGCGCCCGTGCGGGGCTGCGCAGGTAGCTCTGCCGAACGCGATGGTGGCGTTGGCCAGCCTGAAGCTCTACGGTGTAGACAGTGGCGGCAAACTGAGTGCGATGGTGCTCAAGTAGTTCCTGTACTGCCTGGATGACCTTGGACCGCGGCACCGAGTTGAAGAACCCGACCAGGTCGTCGTTTATCACGGAGTAGTCGACATCCTCAGGCAACTGTGAGAGAAATTCCTGAAGGCGGTGCCAAAGGACCGGAAGAGGTTCATGTCCGAGGCTGTCGGGCCACGTCTGTAGGCTGATTGCCTGCAGTAGGATGGCAACTGATCGTAGAAGATGCCTGTGGTACGCGCGATGGTAGGGGATGATGGTGCGGCCTTTTCTCCATTGTTTCTTCCGCTTCAGGAACACCTTGCCGACTGGGATGGCGTGGCGGTGGTAGCGGGGGCATGCCCACGAGTACCGCTTGTGCAGGAACCGATTCCACAATGCGAGCCTGCGCAAGTTCATCGGAGGCCGAAGAGACCTGGAAAAAGTGCCGTCAGAGAGCCACGTGGTGCGTAGTGCAGTGAAGTAGAGGGCAGGGCAGAAGAACATGAGGTGGTGGTTATCATGGTCCTCGTTGTGGCACACGAAGTCACGGCATAGGCTGCGTTTGAGAACCTGCAGGGTGATGATGTCCAGTAGAGCCTCCTGGTAGGTGTAGAGCTCGTGCACCGGGACCTGAGCACGGAGCACCGCCATGACCCTCGGGACCACTGTGTGTACCGGTAGTCCATGATGCAGTGTCCAGCGACGCACGGAGACCTCGACTGCTGCTAGGTAGCGGTCCGAGCGGGGGTAGGCTGCTGCGCCCGCAGAGAGATGCCGATGATGGGCGAGTCGTCCAGTGTGCTGAAACTCCTCCAGGCCAGACGCCACATGACAGTCAACATGAGAAAGATGCGGTTGAACACGTAGCCAATGCGAGCACCGGCACGGGGAAGTGGCGTCTGACTGTAGATCGAGGGAGCTGCTGAAGATGTTGTAGTTCCACAGGACATCCCGGGCGCGCCGATGCGGGAGCTCACGCAGGATGTGGGTGTGCGCATGTAGAGGCAAAGCCCACTCTTTGTGTTCCACAATGATGGCACGTAGGGCCCGCTGCACCACATCTCTAAAGTCCGGGTGACTCAGGAAGGGAATGGCGAGGGCGAGGTTCTTGCGAGGCAGGTACAAGTTGCGAAACGTGAACACATGGTGAAGCTGCTGCTGTATGCGTTGGCGTTGTGGCTGCTGCACGAGGCCGCTGAGCCGGTGGAGGGCATAGAGTTCCTCCGGGGCGTACTTGCCAGCCCGAAGTTGCTTGACTTGTTCCCAGCGTTCACGGTGTTCAGAAGCAAGACGAGCTAGCACGTGCCAAAGAGCAAGTCGATCTGCAGCAACGTACTTGTAGTGGCCTCCATAGACAGCGCTCAACCTGCGCCGAAGCCTGGAAAAGAGGCGTTTGCCGTGGCGGGCCCAGGGTCGTTCTTGTAGGAACCGATGTGCTGTGTAGCCTACTGCTTTGCGCTTGAACACCTTGCCCACAAATGGCCAGTTGAGGGTGGGCTTATAGAGGCTGATGAGCTAGTGCTCCTGGACCCAGGCGTCGCGGTAGCTGCTGCCAACGTACACGACCCAGGTCGTAGGACTCGGTCGAGGCCCATACTCGAAGGGCTGGTTCTGCATTGATCTGCCGACCCCGGCGAATAGCACGGAGCTTACTGCGCCGATTGCATTCACGCAGGATGATGCCGATGTGCGAGCTGCCGATGTAGCTGTGGCCGTTTGTAGTGAAGCTGAAGACGCCGTCAATGGGCACGCGAAGATGCTGCTTGAGGTACACCACGTCGCGGCCTTCCTTGCTTCGGGTTGATGCTCTTTCGTGTTTGGTTGCGCTGATTGCGGTTGCCTTTCCTGTTACCCTGACATTGCCATATTGCGTGCTCGCTGTTGGATCACTGCTTGGTGGACTGCAGCCCCCTGTCTGGTCAAGTCTCGGCGACTTATGCAATTCTCCCCAGCAGTGCATGGAGGGTCTGTCCCCGGATGACACAGCAACAATGAGAGAAGCGTGCCTGCACTACCACGTGCCCCTGCCCTAGTATACCTCCTTCGTGCCCGGCACCGTAGCCTACGCTGTTCAGATGCTCAGGCTGACCTTACAGTACAAGCAGCGCCGGGAGATCTACACCGTTTTGGAGGTCTCCCGCAGCCTGACTCACACCTACTTGAAGATCCCGAACGTCAACAAGGCCCTGCTGCTATGGGCTGCTTCGCTGGCCTCCCTGGCGCTGGTCTATCACTTTGGCCGCAACGCACGCCTTCGCCATCTGCGGCGGCGGCTGCACCAACACTCCCTGCGCCCAGGCATCACTCGAAGCTGAAACCTGGTGTCTTGTGCCCTGCCTCATAAGGTATGCTTGGGAGAGACTGGCAAGCACTGGCCAAAGTGGACGATGTAGCGGACTTTCAGGAGTTGCCAGGGGTGCTGTAGAGCCACTGCGTGGCGACCACCGGCAGGATGTTGCGGCGATTGGCCCTCTGCGCCAGTGAGAGGGGATGTTCCACTTAACTGCCATCTAGCTGGGAGCATGGAGATCGTGGTGGCCTGCTGAGGGTGACTGCGTTGCTGAAGCTATGTGCGCACGCGGGCATCCGTGAGGGTCTTGGGGAGCTCGAAGGAGGGCAAGTGCCGATCACAAGGCCCGTGAATCACCGAGTCGATGTCCGGAGTGGACTGTGCCTTGCGCTTCTTGCCGCGACCTGCTGAGGAAGAGTCAGGCCCTGCCGAGGGGGAAGATCTGGGAAGGGACTGCTCAAGGTCTCCGACTGGTTGGGGCTGCTTCGCATCGGGGGTCTTGGCGCTGGACCTGATGGCGAAGTTCCTGAACCTGCTGCACCATGTTCGACTCCGTGACCTGACCGCGGAGCTCTGTGAGCTTGCGCACAATGTGGTCGGTGAGGGGCTGCATGAACTCCATGGCCTGGGTCCGCTTGTCAGGGATGGGGACCGCCGGCACGATCTGATGCCATAGAGCAAGGCAAAGTGCGTCAGGATCGAGATTTTGCTCCGTCATGGCGTTCAGCATTGATGCAACCAGCACTGCCTCGGCGATGGACCTGCGCATGACCGGGGCAGCAAAGCGGCCCTCACTCAGCGGACGTAGGCTCCAGTCCTCCACGCCATGCCGAAGGAGCGCTGCAAGAGGAAGCGTGAGCACATCCGCCCCGGCCACGCCTTTTCTGCGGGACCACTGGGTTGGCTGCACGTACCGGTAGAGGCGGAGGCCGCGAATTTCGGTGGTGGAGTCCAGGTGTTGAGCATCACTGCGGAAGTGCGGAGGAAGCTGCGTACCTCACGTAGGCAGCGGAGGCGGTCCCGGAGGTCCTGGCGGCGCTGGCAGAAACGGTGGCACCTGACCTGGAGTTGACGATGTAGTAGGGGTGGTACTGGCTGGAAGAAGCGTGCCAGGACATGACCGCACTAGTGGCAATGCTGCAAAACGGGGTTGGCACAGTCAGCTTGGGCTCAAAACCGAGAACTGCAGAAAAACGCATTAAGCACATTCAAAGTCAACAGGCCTAACGAAAATCTGAAGCCGACATGCTCACCAAGGCACACACAGCATCCGCATGGGTGACTCTGTTTCACAGTCGTTGCCTGCAGTGCACAGTGTGAGAAGCAGGGCTATGGTACTGGCAGAGAAGAGGCCCGCTTCTGCTGAGTGAGAAGTTTGCGTCCACGGAGCACTCGTCCTCAAAGATTGCCAGGAGGGGTCTCCCGAGCTCGCCAAGCGATGCCACGCAGAGCTGCAACTCCAGGATGGACGGCCACGTGTATGGTGGACAGTGCCGTGGCCGCTGGCAATCGCCTTGCTGCGCTCCTCCTCTCCGCCTGTTCGTACAGGCGCTGCCTTGCCGATGGCATGGCCATAGAGCAAGATGAGGCTCGTGTTGAACGACAGGTTATAGTTCGCGTTCGCGATCCTGCTGGCTTCACTGATGTCCCAAGCTTCATCTCCCGTCCGCTTGAAGCCTTGGGCGTAAAACGCCTGGCAGTCCGAAGAGTGCCTGCGGCTGGGCTCAATGCGGCGGTTGCGCCGGATCTCCACAACGCCATGTCTGCTGCTAGCGTGTGTCCAGAAGAGGCACGGCTGGTCCTTGCTGGAAGAGGTAGTCCACGGTGGGGTTGCCGGAATCCTGAGGGACGAAGGGCACGTGCCTGATGCGGGCGTGGCTCATGTCAACGTTCGCATCGTCAAGGAACGCAGCGACATACTTCAGCATGTCCTGGTTGACCGTGGTGGAAATCAGGTGGGAGGTGTGCTGCTTCAGGTACTTGAGGGAGGAGTACTCTGGGCTGGGTCTCAGCACCAATCCGTGCAAACTGTCTGCATGCACGTGGTCATCACCATGAGCGCTGGCAAGATGATCACCAGCGGGATCACGGTCACCTGCACGGTCAGGTACGGGAGCGCGAGGTCGAGGACTTTGCAGCCTGCGGCGCCGAAGAGGTGGCCTGTGAGAGGACGAGGATGGTCTTTGGAGACGGGGACCGTCTTGGCGATGCCGAGGTAGAAGGACGGCCTGGAGGGCGCGCTGGCCTTGGACTTGGCGTAGGAGGGCGCTCTGGGGAAGGCCGAGAACTGGGGGGGATGGGGTGCCCATACTCCTTGGAGCGCCGGGGGGGATGCCGAGGCTTGTAGGGGAGAAGATGCAGGTGTAGTGGAGCATGGTACCTGTTGAAGCCGCCGGTGTGCCTGAGGTGGTGCTGCAGGAGGAGCTGAAGGCCCGGAAGTTGCAAGGCGGGGCTAGGGAGTACGCAGAGTGGACGTTGTAGGCCTGGTTGGCGCCGGTGGCATACGGTAGGGTGTGGTTGTAGCAGTTAAGGGTGGAGTAGCTGGAGTAGGAAGTGAAGGTGATGCCAGGGTTACCGTGCGGAGGTCCTCCGTGCGAGCCATGCTGAACAACATAGTAGGCGAAGGAAGGTCGCGGGGGGCTGGGGGATCCAGAAAGGGTTGCCCCAATGTGGATGCCAGGGAGCTACGAGGGCTGGCTGTGTCTTCAATTGCGCTCGTGGTGGCTGCTGGGAGCAAGGGTGCCATAGACGGAGAAGGGCTCGTGGTTCTTGTAGCTGTGAGATCACAGGGGCGCCGGACATGGTCTGAGGCCTAGCCCTCGGCAGAGGCGTGAGTGGCTGCAGTGTGGGTGCTGTAGACGGCCTCGGTCTTGCCAAATCTGGGGGTGGGGATCCCGTCCTTGTTGGGCTCAGTAGGTGACGCCAGCAAGGAGCTAAAACACTTCCCTGCCTGTGGCCAACACGATCTGCAAGGGCTGCGGTCAGGAAAGGTGCCTTTCTGGACTGGTAAGAGTCAACCGGTTCGAGTCGAAGCGGTAAGAGGCCTCCAATGGCAGGGAGTCGGCATAAGGCTTCTCAAATTGGCCTGTTCCCTGTGCAAGTCTCTGTGCGGTTCCAAGGGCATAGCCTTGCGGTGCGAGGCTGGGGCTGTATTCTCGTTGCCCGCAAAGGGATCACGGGCGTGGCCGAATAACGGACGCACCACCCGGCACACACTTGATTCATTACAACTTAGGCACCTGAAGTTCATCCTGCTCCCTCGGAGCTGTGAGTGCATGTACTGTATCAACGGCTTCTGGTTTGAAAGGACCGCAACAAGCAACCTACCAGAGGGTCCACTAAGCAGGTACACAAGTCGGCGTCCCGACTTGCTTCACGACATCTCTGGGTGGTCTTCGTTGGGCAGTGCGCCCCAGAGTGTCCACTGCCCCCCTGCTGAGGATCCACTTGTCCAGTGAGACACGGCGACGTGGTTGACCCTTTGGTACAGGGCTTTCACACACACACAGACACACACACACACACACTGTCAATGACCCCGGGCTGCGGCCCAATATTGCTGAGCATGTTCTGAGGGTACCCCTTTGTTTCCGTGTTGGGACCCGTAACCGCGGTCACACGCCGGGAGATCTTCATCGAACTCTTGGGTGGTCACCACCAACCGCTCCACCTCGAGGGCAAGGGGATCCCTCCACGCCACCAAGATCGGTGAGGAGGAGTGTGACAAAGGAAAGCCCCAGGACTCCTGATGCAATGGTTGAGAAGCTGAAGCAGCAGCTCGCCGCTGCGAAGAAGGAGACCGCTGCTCTCAGAGGTGACATCGAGCCCAAAGACAAGATGATTGCAGATCTACAACTTGAAGTCAGAGGAAGCACTACCGGATTGAGGAACTGGAAAGAATGAGACAGTTGTCACAGCAACAATCAGAACACCTCGTCAGAAAGTCCCAGACGGACATCCAGGTTGTGGAGGCTCAGGCACAGCAACTTGGCCGTGTATGTCAAGAAAAGGAAGCAGAGATGAGCCGCGTGCGGCTCGAGGATCTGGAAAAGCGGAGAATGGTGCAAGCACAAGGTTTGAGACTTCATGAACTAGCCCAAGAAGATGCTACTGCATCAGCGCATGAGAGAAATGCAACAATTTGTGCCCAAGAAGTGAACGAAAAGGCAATGATGAGTGTCAACGACATGAAGCGTGGGCTGGTGACCGCAGATGAGAGGAATGCTCTTCGCCTCAAGGACGAAGAGGTCACAGCCGCTGCTGTTGAGGATGCAGCTGGAGAATGTGTCAAAGATGAACCTGAAGCTGATCCAAGATGAGTGTGGTGATGCCCAGATGGCCGAGATGTCATCACAACTGCTGCAGATTTCGTGTGAACATGCATATCGACAAGCCCTGACTACTGAACTGGCTGAACTGAAGAGACGTGCTGAGGATGCGATCGCTATGAAAGAGCAGCAGATGAAGGAGGAAGCGAACGTCATCGGCATGATGAGGCTCTCCCTGGAGAGGAACAACCAGGAGCAGACTTCCATCAAGGAGGAGCTGAGAGCGCTCATGGTTCAGAACTCCCAGATGAAGGAGTATGGGAAGGTTGAAGTTCAATCCTACTTGCAGTCCTTGGACGTCTTGAAGGAAGAGAACAAGGCTCAGAGGACGATGATTGATCAAGGCGATGTACACCTGCAGCAACTGAATGACGCGCACGAGGAGCTCCACTCTGAACTGGAGGCAGCAAGACGCCCTGGAGGCCGTAGTCCACCGGCAAGCTGTCCTGCATCGCCTATTGAGGTTAAGATGAGCTTCGAGAATTTGCGAAGGGGAGTCACGTCTCACACCATTTCAGGCTCAGCAAGTGTCGTCCCATCAACGAATTCCGACACTAGGTCATGCACCCTCACCAATTGGTGGCAATTCACCGCTCGAGAACGCATTGCTAGGCTACACCAGTGGTGACCCGGGGAGGTCTGGGCCCGTTCCCAACCTCTCCGGAAGCCCAGGAGGAGGAGGAGGAGGAAATGACCCCACTCCACCTTTGAACTATCGGCGGCGGAAAACGAGTAGCTCCCGGAGGTGGTGGCGATCCTCCTGGTCCTCCTGATCATGATGATGATGATGAGGAGGAGGACAGGGGCAACAGGATTGTGCCCATTTCCAGGAAAGAAGCAGAGAAAGTGACGGTGCCACCATGGCCAAAGATACATCAGTTGGATCAGTGGAAAGCCAACTTGGTCATGGCAGTGGTGTCTGCATCTGGAGACCCAGACGTTGATCGATGGTCCAAGTGGTTGTCGGAAGGATGGCAGCTGAACCCTAATCTGGACGTCCTGTCCAACTCGGGACACAAGAGGTTCACCATGATCGACATCAAGTTGGCGGTGGCTCTCACTAGCATATGGTCAATGCGGATCGCTGCCTCGGGGTAAAAAAAGCTCTCACTAGCATGGTCAAGAGCGCTCGTGATCTCGCACGCGATATTCTCATGGACATTAACCGCCATTCGGAAGCCCGACATCGCAGTGGCTTCATCATCAGAGGAAGAGAAGTTCTTGCTATCATCATGCAGTCTTTCCGATCTAGCGACAGGACTGATCTGGTCTACAACATCGAGCATCTACTTCATTTGGAATTTCCGGGTGACAAGAACTTGGCGATCTTCAGGAACAAATGGTGCGAGATCTTGACTGGGATGAGGACTGAGGACAGGCCGAAGGAGCTGGCTCTACGGGACATTTTGTTTCGGAAAATCAAGACCAGCAAGAAGATGGAGCACTTGCTACACATCTTCCAGACGCTGCCCGATTCTCATCCGGACAGGACATACCAGAACTTGATCCTGATGATTGACCGCCAGATCAGAATCGATAGAGAGGAGGCCTTGCTTGAGAACAAGGAGAGAACTCTGAAGAACATCGGCAAGGGCCGGAATGCAGCTCCAGGCAAGAAGAAAGATGGTGGCACCAAGAAGGAGAAGGATAAGGAGAACAAGAAGAAGAATGCCAAGGATGCGGCGCCGGTCATGCCGAAAGCCAATGCCAAAGCACACGCGAAGCCGCCAACGAGATCCAATCCGAGGAGCGACCGCAAGAGCAAGGACCACTCAGGTGATCCATGCTGGTTCTTCTTCCAGGGCAGCAACGGTTGCAGACTGGGAGACAAATGTGGCTACTCCCACCGAAAGAAGGATGAGAACAAGCTTGTCAACGACGACTCCAAGGGCAAAGGAAAAGGGAAATCGAAGTCAAGGTCGAGAAGTCCCAGCGCTCCTGGCATTTGCTTCGCGAACCGCGATGGCAAGTGTAAGTTCGGTGACAAGTGCAAGTACGTCCACGAGAACAAGAGCAACAATAATGCAGCCCCTTCGACACCAAGAGCCGACAAGAAGGGGAAGAACGACTCCAAGGACAAGAGTGGATCTTCGACTGGAAGTTCATCGAGCTCGGGATCCAAGCCCGCGGCTCCAGCTTTGAGGAGAAGCAGACATCCAGCCATGCCTGTCTTGAGACGCAAAGCAGCTCTTTCAGAGAAGATGAAGTTGAAGGATGAGGAGGAGGAGTCTGATTCCGATTGCGCCGAGACGGAGTACGGTGAGGACGCAATGAGTGTGGTCTGGAGAAACGGAGGCCTGCGAGAAGGTTGTTTGGTTCAATGAGACTGCCGAGTTCAGCGACGGGACAAAGAGATTGCTGAGAACCGAGGAGGAGCAATGGGCAAATAGATGCCAATCTAGCGATGCGCGAAGGTACAACGGGAAGATCCAGCTGGTCGATGATAGCGCTTTCAGGGCTGACGACCGTCGGAAGTTGGCTGCTATTCATCAGTATCGGGCCAGAATGCGTGCCGACATATGGGCAGAGGTGGCAAAAGGTGTCATCAAGGATCACTTCATGGTGGTGTCAAAGAAGACCTGCTTCAAGATGAGGTTCGACCCTGAGTCCAACAGAATCAGGGACATCCCCATTGAATGGAGTGAGAAGTACGGTGAACCTGTTGACCCCTATGCCATGGCAACTACACTCACCAAAGGTGTGACATGGTTGATGGACACTGGATGCGGCCACGATTTGATCGGCAACAACAAAGCCAAGTCCATTGCTGCGCAGATTGTCGAGGACGACGATGAGATTGAATTCTTGATTACAAAAGGCACAACAACTACATCTTCGAAAGCTTTGATCCAGGTTCCCGAATTGCAAGAGACGGTACAACCATATATTCGGGATAGCACACCTACTGTTCTTTCTCTGGGGAGAAGATGCATGAAGGAAGCCTATTCTTTTTCTTTTCACTGGACATGTGGGAAATTACCATTCTTGATGATGCCCAATGGAGAGATCACAACCCTATCGGTCAAGGACGGCATCCCGTAGCTCGTGGCCAACAGGAAGAGACGCAAGAGCAACCGACTTCGGCCGAAGACCGAGGACGTCGAGAACGCAATGGAAAATGCGCCGGAATGGTTCAAGGAACAAGCGGAGAAGGATGTGAACGTGATGAATGCTTTCCCCAAGGATGAAGTTCCTGCCGCTCCTGCTCCTGGACGCCACGATGAAGAAGCTGAGGACGGAGAAGGAGAAGCACGGCCAGAAGTGGATGACTTCGGTCCTCCGGGTGGTGCCGGGCCCGTTCCCGCTCCAGCCCCGGAGGAGGAAGATGAAGAAGAGGCGGAAGATGAGCATGCTGGTATCGAATACGATGTCTATGAGGGCATTTCCGTGAAAGGAAAGACGGGAACCCTCAAGGGCGAAGCCAAGACGCTGCAACATCTACTCACTCATCGCTACAGGAATCCGTACTGCCCTTCCTACGTGAAAGGAAAGATGCGACATTTCAGGACGCACAGCGGTGCTTTCCAACGAGAGGTGAAGGTCTTCGGTGATCTGATTACCTTTGACTGGGTGACACTTTCAGGTCCGACAAACACAAAGGAGAAGTATGCGTTGATCGTGAGGGACATGTACACGGGCATGATCATGGCCTATCCCTCGTTCTCCCGAGGTTCAGACAGAGTAATCGTGTTCCTCAAGCACTTCATGGGCAGGAGAAAGATCAAGCAGGCGTATACTCAGACGACGCGCCAGAGTTCATCGAGGCATGCGATGCGCTGACGATTCCGCATGATCGGTCTCTACCAGGCAAGCCTCAGAACAACTCACTGGCCGAGAGAACAAACATGTTCATCATTGACCAGACTATCACATGCTTGCTAGAAGCTGGACTACCTCCACGTTCCTGGAAGTATGGCATCGTTGCACTATGCCACCTCAAGAACACCGAGATGGTGGATGGTTCTTCTGCCTGGTTCAGGATGCACGGGGAGCACCTCAGTGGCGAAAGGATTCCATTGAGTGCAAAGGTTCAGTTCAAGCCTAGCGAGGCAAGGCTGAGGGATGTGAAGGGCAAGTTCGATCCAAAGGGCGAGACCGGCGTCTTCGCTGGGTATGAGGTCAAGACGGGATTGAATTGGTCCCGGAGGTACCTTGCGTGGGCAACCGAGGATTTTGCCAACGCCAACCTCAACGTGAGAACGGGGAAAGGACCTTTGAGACTGCGAATACCTCATGCATCCGAGAGGATTGTCATGGATGACCCCATCGTCTTCCCCGCCAAGCCGAAGTATGACGTGATGAACGACACAATCAAAGGAGTTGAGAGAGCAAGGAGAGCTGACCCTGACGGTGATATTCTCGATGATGATCACGTTCCACCAGCTGATGAAGGTGATGATGATGATGATGATGATGAAGGCGGTGATGCTGGGGATGGAGGTGACGGGAAAGGTGTAGTCAGGAGGAACCTCGAGCAGGAAGAAATGGAAGAG